AAATAATTTAAATCATAATTCACGACGTGTTCATAAATTGGGATAGCAATACCAAATGCCTCTGAAAATAGATGCTTGTGTATTATAAATAAAAAAAGACCATATAGCCCATTATAATGAATAGGAACTCTGACGGAGTTAAGTTAAGGGCACTAGCACTGCAATACGTCTTGCGACACGCTCGGGTACAAGTCCGCTCTCATTTTCTAGCGGCGTATCGTTAATCTCCACCGCCCCCTTCATTGTGTCTCTCACGCATGGCCCCCGTTTATTTCCACTAATCAATTATCGGTGCCGTTCGATCACGCGGCCGATTCTTAATCGCTTGCCACGATCTTCCCCGTACCGTTGCTTTGCGGATTTTAGAAAGCGGACGTTCTGAATTCCGCCGCGCGATCGCTCTCAGGTGGCTGGATAATTATGGTCGAACGACGCCGGTAATTCGAGGAAAAATCATGCATGCACAGTGTGCGGCACGGGGGACTTACGAGGAGTCGTTAATAAGACTGGCGCAAGATTTCCCACGTTGCAAGCCATGTGAGCGTCGATGCACGAAAAATCATGACGGAACCTTACCAATAACTGACTAGACAAATGAGACAGGCTGTAATGATAGATAGATCTTATTTACATTTTTTTTAGAGGATATTAATTTCCGCTAGAAATGAAGAATTGATATATTGCGACAAGCAAGATCGAATTCTGAAAATCGATTAAATGGATTATGTACATGTAGATAAAAGTATTATATTATCCAGCGGCCATTTTTGATGATTGAGACAAATTTGTTTGTTGGACGAAGTGTATACGAGCAATTTATCAATTAGATTTCATTTGATAACAAGCACAACAATGTGATACTACAATAAGATCTTTGATGATAGATTGTGCATCAATATTTACTGTAATAATTTTATATATAATTATAATAGAATTAAACATATATAGTCCCTTTGGAAAGAGTTATATTTTGCAAGCAAAATGGTGAAGTGTAATTAGCAGTTACGTCGACGTATCCTTGCATACACAGTTGTAATCGAATAAGTATCATCCGTTAGGGAATCATGATGATATATATTGTGCAGATCGATACGTATCTCGCGAATTAATCGGAGGCTCTTTGATCATTCGCCTATTCTGCTCTGACGCACACGCGATCATACAATTAATTATTGACCCGTTTTAATCTCGTTAGGTCTAATTAGAGAGGATGGTGTCTCGTCTCAAAGTTGTTAATTGAGTTGGTTAATGCGATAAAGGAGTTCGTAGTGTTCTCATTCTCCTCCCCTTTTGCACCATCCATTGTCTTGCTTCTTCTGCTTCTCTGTTTCGCTTTATCTCTTTTTATTGCGGAATTCTAAAGGTGTGCAGATACCTGCAGACAGTGATTATTTCCACTACTTCAATTATTTGAGTTATTCCCATCAACGAGTTTCCCAGCACTCGATAAAGTTATCGAGAAATCATATATGACATCCTTAATATTCACAAGATCTCAAAATAAATGTGCTCGTGGAAATTTTCTCAAGATGAACGTATGTGAAAACAAATTACAAATTGAAAGAAAAGTTTATTTATATTTTTTATTCTAAAAATTTATTAATTGATAAATCCTTCATTAACATTATCTCCTCGAATTATATGACACATAAATGTGGTATAATAATAAAATATTACGACAACGGGATGTTCTGGATTGCTCGCAATTGAACTTTCCTTTATTTTATATCGTATAATAAGGATCGTTTATTCAATCGCATAATTATTATTAAAAAGTGCTTTGTATAACTGCGGGATTATTGGTAAAAATATTTCTCTCCTACGAGCCGCGGAAACTGCCCTTCGAGAGATGAATCTCAATGTATTCGATTGATTAAGTCATGCTTTTGTCGAGATAAAACGCTCGACCAATAGATTTTTTTTTTTCTTTTATTACGAAGCGGCTATCGGCATTTAATAAAATATAGTTCTCCAATTATGAAATTGCATTGTACGATTATATTGATTATATTTGCTGAGAAAAAAATTTAGCTTTCTGTTCATCATTTTTTAAAGTTATTTCTCAACAAGAAAAGTCAAGTATTTTTATGTATTTATGTATATAAATAATTGAAATGTATATAATTAATATATGTATTGTCGTAAATATTTCGATTAAATTATGCCAATCTTGAAACTTATATAATAAATCTTCCTAAACGCAGTTAGATTTTTAATTTTTAGCTTATTAACATTTTTTTTTTTTTTTCATTTCTATGCAATATACCTTGCTTTTCCATCTCAAGAATCATTTATCCGATACGTTCCGTTGCATGCAGTGCAATAAATCGAGACGCCGCACCTCGCTGCACCGCGTGCACAGACGTTAAGTCGATACTGGCCAATAATAAATGCCTCTGCACATGGCAGCGTCGAACCCTCCGTTGCCGTGGGTTTTCACGTACCGACGTTAAATTCGGGGCATCGATAATCGAAGTTGGAACGGTTCTTCGCTGAGGTCGCGGCATTGTACATACGTCTCCTCGTATTCGTGTTACAACGTGTATATGTACAGCATCATGTCGTTTCGGTATAACTGTGTAGGCAAGGCGTATGGAAAACCGCGCCATCCCAGGAGGTTCATTAATTATAATTAATATCGCTGTCGATAATGGCACTAGCACTTCGTATAATATTGCCATGACGTACATACATCGTCGTGAGACGCCTCCGCTTTATGCGGTCTACTCTCGCGGTCTTTTCGCAAGAAACGATCGTGATCGATGCCGTTATGTATCGATGTAACCCTCCATCTAACCGAGAACACATTGCATATTATGAAAATATGCATCATATGTTTAATTAGAAATTTAAAACAGCTATATCTTTATTATTATATAGGTTATATAAATAAAAGAGAGATGCATCAATAAATAAGTAATTATGATTAATTAAGATGTAGTAAAAATAAGTAAATAAGAAATAGTAAATAGGATCAGTTAATAGAAAAAGAATAAAATGAAAGGTACTTGTACCGGGTCATCTTGAATTTTGATAATTTTGTCTTCAGTGAGTTACACGGAAAGAATGATTTTGCTGAATCTAAAAATTTAGTTAGATACAATTTTGAAAATAATTATGTTGGACCATCAAAATAATAATTATGTAGGACGCTCAAGCGTAATGAGCAATGCTGCAAAAAGTTTTGATGTAGTCTCGCAACAAGCTTGAACATCCTACATAATTATTTTTAGATCTGTATCTAGTTAATTTTTTATTAAATAAAAAATATTAAATTTTTAGATACTTTAGCAACACACCGTTCTTTCTTTCCGTAAATGCACATAATTATTAAATGATACAATATTTTAGATATTTTGTATTATGTTATAAATCTAAACGCTACATAATAGGATATAAACACGAATTTCGTCATAAAAGCAAATCGATAATTATATATGTACGTGTAACTTTGCTTGTCGAGGATCAATTGTCACCATCTAACGATCTCGAAGATCATTCAATATTAAGAGTTAATTCGCTGGTCTGACAGGTGCAAGAATTGATGCCTCAGGTATACGGGAACATCCCGACGTAGATTGAGTATCGATCATTATACGCGTCGTGGTTATAAATTGTCGTTACGAATCAATTGGCCATCGAGCGTGACTATTCGTGGATGCAATTAACCATCGGCGAAAAGCGATCACTCGGTCAATTCGCTGATGAGAAAGGTGAGAAGGTATCTGGGGTACTCTTGACAATAAGGACACATTTTACGTCATCTCGCTTTAGAATTCTTCATTCTTGTAATTACCTGTACCAAGGTAAAATTTTTCACTTTATTTAAAAGTTTCACTTGATTAAACAACGATGCAACGATTTCTAAATCAATTACGTTCTTCATGCATGAATTTAAATAAAGATAAAAGTAATTATAATTTATCGACGTGTATTAATGTGTTTTATCTCGTAGTTTAAAATCTTTCATGTCGCCCTACTGTGCGTATTTACGAAAAATTGGCGATTTATGTGGGCTTAAATGTACAAATCGGTGCAGCAATCGGCGCACCAAGATGAAGGGTAGCTCCGACATGGATTAAACGACGTTGATTATATGCATCTCGCTTGTAAATCGTTACAAATTAATCGGCCGTCAGACTCCCCCCTGCGTGTTCATCGATGAATGGGATTAAGCACTTTGCAAGAGGGATCGATTCACTAGGCATCGATCAGAATCTTCGTACACCTTTTAACCTTTAGCCGATGTTGAATCGTTTACTTTGACAGGAAGAAAAGAAATGTTACTCTTCTTTTTGCACGTTGGATATGTAAGTGTATATGGTTTGCTGAATTTCAGTATATGTGAGAAATGTTCTGTTCTGTTCTGTGGAGGAGGGCGAAAGAAAGGGTAGTATTCGTTACCGTCAAACCTTTTGACCTCGTGCTGATAGAGGATCGATGTATCTCTCTTAGTTTCCGATCTTCTCTCGTATGAATCTGCGATTAGAAAAATTGCGCGCTTCCTGATGGATCGATTACCTTGATCGATCATGCGTTAGTTAGAGAGCATACTTTTTGTAATTGCCACGCTATGTATAAGATAACTGTAGGTATTAATGGCTCCTCAGGATAGGCTGATAATTAATAGCTGTGATTAATTTGACACTGGTATCTTATATCAAATCGTTGAATCAGCGCTGCGTGGATCAGTGCACGACTGTTCGATTGAATGGATAATGTTGAGCAGTATATTGTACGAGTTTGAAATTGAATGGATTACAAGCTATCTTAAAAGTTTATAATTTCTTACAATTTTATTATGTTTCGCAAGTTAAAGTAATTTTCTTACAAACAAGTAAAGATATTAAACAATTTTTTTTAGATATAATGAAAGAAAAATATAATTGTAACATTTTGTAATAATGTTTTGAAATTATGTTAGGGTGCTCATTTAAGTATTTTGCGTTTTATTAATTTATGAAAATGTAAATTCGAAGGAAATGTCAACTTTTGCGCAGGCAAATCCATGTCCTCACCCAATTGTAATCCTGAAGGATGTGGCTTCGTCGGACATGGAGTCCTTGCTACGTTTTATGTATCATGGGGAAGTGCACGTGGGTCAGGAGCAGCTACCTGCTTTCCTGAAGACGGCTCAAATGCTTCAAGTGCGGGGTTTGGCGGACGTTAATAGTGGCGCCACGAAAATTCCATCGTCGTCGGCCGGCAACAACGGTAGCGCACCTGTAAGTTGTCCCCGCGGCAGTTTAATATGGAAGTTGGAAAATTAATTATACGAATTATACGGCTGGTTTCGAACTTTTAATTAATTTAGCCTTAATTAAAACGAATTTTAATTAATGTGCTTTTAACACTACGCCGTCGCCGCCATCGTGACAGGCGGAATCCCAGTTAGAATTTCCTGCTTCGTCCTTTAGCTTTTAATTTCGACTTATAATAGACGTTAGACAAATATTACGTGGAAGTTTTAATAATGGAGTATTTAGAGTTTTTCTGATTATTACATATAATGAGATTATTGAGAATATTAATTGGAATTAAATTATATGAAGAATAATTACGTTGTCTTTTTCATGGATGCTGTACTATCATCCGTATATTATCTTTAATTTGATCAGGCAACCCCACGTAACTGGCAAGATAACGGCAGAGGAGATCTCAATGAAAGTGAGTTGAGTCCACCAGAAAAGCGAGCAAGAAGTTACAGTCCTCCAATAGGAAACCACGTCGAACCAAAATTGGATCTTCAGGAATCCTTGTTAGGTCAGGCACTCGAAGGTGGTCCCACGATACACACGACATCCACAAACAATATACAGGTGAGTAAGAATTATGTCAAGTTAGGCAACAATAATGATGTTCTATTACACATCAACGTATTTCCGCGCAAAAGTGTAAATTTAAATTTTATGAAACCGATTAGTATCTTTGGTGATTATAGGTATTTTTTACTGATATTTTACAAATATGAGGGTATTTTGTTTCAGGCGCAATCAACTGGCGAAGATTCGAATTCTATGTCAGAAAACGAAGAGGATGTATCGAATCACGGCAGCATTCTTAACGCAGTGAAGACCGAGCCAAGTGATATTCTAAATGATTCTATAGAACACCATCGAGCCACCAGCTTTCCTGCAGCGTTGTTAAGTCTTCAAGGTAATTATTTGGTTTTTATGTTTAAAATTCTCACATTAAATCTTGTATAATATTTTATATTTAACATATTGTTATATTAACATATTGTTAATTATTTGCTCTGTTTGATTCATTTAATAATAAATAAACCATATACTTCAAGAATAAATAGATTATTGATCTGTTTTAAAAATATGTTTTATATTGATAATTGCTTATACATTATAAATATCGGCTACTTCGGTATTTATAAGGCAGAGTTGAATTTATGTTGGACCAAAGAAATCCCAGTTTTGTCGAAAGGATGCAAATTAGTTTTTTAATTAATGGCACATTTAATTACTAATTACATTTGTAATTAATTATTAATTCCTCGTCCAGTTACTAATTACTTTCGTAATTAGCAATTAGCCCGACTTAATTACTAATTACGGCTTCAATTAAAATTAATTAATGAATAATTACAATTATTTCTATTTGTGTACATAATTTCATTGTATTCTTTGACTTATGAAAATGTGTTAATATAAATCTATTATGAAATGTAATAAACTAACATATTATTAACATAATTTGATTTCGTTTACTTGTGCTCTAGTCAATTGAGCGATACAAATCTCATGATTTATATTTATACTTACAATAAAATAGTAGTTGACTTTACTTTGTTAATGTATACTACATATTATTAAGTATGTAGAATATTAAAAAATTAATATTCTACGATATTTTTAATTTATAACAATTTACTAAGATAATAGACTGCACTTCATATTTAACATATAAATAAATAATTGCACTTTTCTGTCTTATTTAACATAACATTAAATTTTTAAAATAATGACATCTTTGTGTAATTAATCTAATTGAGTCTTTATTTTTAAATTACAGGCATGAATATGCCAGGACCCTCCGGCATGCATCAAGTAGCCAACCAGGATCCAAACTACGGTAAGTTTATCAAATCTATGATTTGATCTCATCCTTTTAAACATTCTTAAAGCCCAGACTAGTATCCTTCCGTCGTTTCCTAAGACTCTGATCTCTCGTTATTGCGTTGAATGCATGAAACTCTCGTACCTCTCATAACCCTTGCATCCCTTGTCAGCTACCCCTCTTATCACACGGTGAGCAGCAACGTATTATGGAGTCGCATCTCTGCTATGATTTTCATTGTGGCGTATCTTACATGGCAGAGACATAAATCTTTTTCATAATAACTATCATGCAATGACCTTTCTATTCGGAAATGAACATCATATTGTATCTTCGTTTTTGTCTGTGATGTGAGGCTTATTTTCGACATCGTATATTACCTTGAAAAATTGTGTAAGTGTGAAATCGCGTCATTACTTGCAATATCAACAAAATTTTCAGGCTCAGGAATCGAAATGTAAATCTAAACTTATATTATTCGTATTTAAAATAATCGTAATTATGCGTGTATATCAATGTAGTGATATCAATGATATTCGGCCTCAATTTGAATAAGAATTGGAAACAAATCGCGATGGGAAGATAATGAAGAAGAGACGAACAATATAGGGTGCACAAGAGCGCCAGGAACAATTAAAGGTTGCCATATTAACTTGATACAAAGGATTGAATTCGATTCTAGATTTAGGGAGAGACTCGTTGGGGGAGGGTACAAAAATTATTGAGGGCAAAACCTTGTCTTTAAAACCTGGAAATACACTTTCAGAAAAGAGAAAGTTGAAAAAAAAATACATAAGAAAGGGCAGTGGGAGGCAAAAAAAGCGATTGAATAGTGTTTAAGGAATCGTACGAGGTTGGCTGAGGACTGACATTGGCTGGTGGTTCCAGGGCGGTGGCAGCCCTCTGGAGGAGATGGTTCAAGTTCGAGTTCCGGTTGGCTGCCAGGTTCATCCTCCAAGAACGAGCAGGCCGGGTCTGAAACCTACCAGAGCGGCGGAGGTCACAACTCGAAAGGGCAGGATCTCTCGGGCTTGCTTCAGCATCATCATCATCAGCATCATCACCACCATACCACCAGCCAACAGTCATCGCAGCAACACACCCTCAATGCCCTCAACTCCCTCAATAATCTAAACAGTGAGCAACTTACGATGATGCATCAGAAACTGCAGAACAATCTCCAAAGTCTCCAGCAGAGCACTTCTGTCAAGAATGAGCAATTAAATCTGATACTGCAGTCTTGTGCGAAGGACAAGATCGATATGGCGATACTCCATCAACAATCTCACAGGCGATATCATCAGCAAAGGGAGGACGCCAATCAAACCGGTAAACCCAAGTGTCCCGAATGCGGCAAGATATATTCGAACAATTCTAATTTAAAGCAGCACATTGTTAACGTTCACACTGTGCAGACTGAGTACATTTCGTGTCATGTGTGCAGCAAGCAATTCAAGACCAAGCAGTACTTGCAGATTCATCTGCTTTCTATGCATGGTATCAGAAAGCGAAAAACTTATCCTCTGTATCACCAGATACAGACACATGTGCAGGCGCAACAGCAATCTTTGCAACCTGCCTCACAAGTTTCCGCAAACCAACAGTCTCAACAATAATATTCCCCGGC